TTGGTAATGGAGACATACAATAAGAAAATCAATAAATATACATTGTGACTAATGCTATAAAGCAATCAAGGAGCTGTCTAGAACATGAATAGGGTGGGATGTGGACCAAATGTAGATACAACAGTTAAGGATGGCCTCCATGAAAGGTGATGTTTCTGCGGAAAATTAAAAGATAATATGGAATAAACCATGCTAAGAATGGGGTTGGGGGATGGGGTGGAGAAAAAGTTAGAGGCAGAGAGGACCATATGTGCAAATGTGCAGGAGTTTGGCCTGGTTTCCAGAACTAAAAAAACTCTCAGGTAACATAACAATGTAAGGAACAGCAGATTCCTGTGGTAAAGACGTTTTTGGCATGTGGGAGCACTACAGGATTCTACAGTCTGACTGGAATTTCAGTAGCAGGGTATCTGTGTGAGTGTGGTAACAGAATGGAATAAAGAATTATAAAATGTAAACAGTGGAAATTCATAATAGCGGTAACAAGAACAGAGAAGAAAATTCAATGAATGGGGATTTTTAATAGAAAAGACTCAAAGATTTTGTTTTGCTGATATGTATGTCTTGGGAGATTTATTTTAACATGTAAAATACTGTGCATTTAACTACATTGTACCCATGAAATAAAAGTAAGCCAAAGCGTGGACCAAAAAAATATTTGTGAAACTACTATTAAAGTAGAATGAAACACTTCTTTAATCTTTTAAAAATATATTAAGCATAAAAGTAAATGACTTTTTGTTTATTTTTATATTCCACTAGCCAGCTACCTATGTTAGAGAAAGAAATATATACATTCTGTCTTTATGATACCAAACACCAATGAACTGGAAAATAACTGAATGAACAGACACCTGCTTTTTCTTCTCATCCAAATATTTGTTGTTGCACTAACCTGGGAAAGATTACAGCGTCTATATCTGCCCCCTCCCCCAAAGAAACTTAGAGCTTTATTGAATCCATAGGAATCTAAAACATAGGAATTAAAAATTCAAATTCCGTACACTGTATGATTAAGCTTCACAGTCGCAAGTGTCTAGAGGATGTGCCAAAATTCAAACATTTAGAATCTTCTGTATCAACTGTGAGCAACCTTCCATTGAACAAGATTTATTCAGTATTTGTCTTCTTTTTAGAAGGCACTTTTTTCTAAATATAATCATCTTTGTTTGTTCCTGATTACAAACATGAAATATCTTCATTGCAAAAATTCAAACCATGCATAAAACTATGAAGATGCAAATAAAAATGAACAATCAAAGTTACAACATGGAGATTCAGATTTAGTCCTAGGACAGAAATCAGGGAATCTGTATTTCTTAAAAAGCCCACCCCAACACACACACACACACACACACACACACACACACACACACACACACACACACACACACACACG